CCTGATCTCGATGCTTCCGCGTCCGCCTCATCGCCTCAGTCTCGGGGTCAATGTGCAATAGGTGGAAGCCCTGAGGCGAGGGAGGAGGAGTTGCTGACCAATGAGTTCCCCAGGAGAAGTCCTGCGCTCGGGGTGGGCTGGCGATCTCCGCCGCCTCAAAGGTCAGGTGTTCGGGGCGAGAGTTCGGGTGAGTGCACTGCAGAGAACGAGGGTGATTCGGCGGAGCGCGGGATACTGGTGCTGACCATAGGTATTGATATCTATCATCTGCCAGATTTCGGCGATGCGGGTCCCTCTTCTGGTCGTGCTGTGTCTCCGACTGTGCCGGCGTACAGTCTGCCTCACGAGCACGCTGTGGCGAGTGTCGCGACATCAACGAGACACAAGGATGATGGCGTGTCTGAAGAGGTGCATGCATTTGTGAACGCGCCGCTGACCCCACCTAGGCGCAATCTACGCAATCGTAAGCCAGCGCAGCTCAAGCCTTACACCGTCGAAGGTCTCACTTATCGGCGCAGGCTGCTCCGAAATGACTGGGAGGACGCTGTCGTGAGCCAAAGGGAGATCCGGGAAAAGATTCGTCAGGAGCTAGACGCAGAGTGGGAAGAAGCCAAGAGGAAAGACGTGGCACTCAGGGAAGCAGACGATCAGGTCGCCACGAGACACGCGTGGGAAAAGGATCTGAGACGCCGGAAGCGCGAAGAGCGGAAGCTGAAGCAGAAGGAGGAGAAGAGGAAAGAGAAGGAGAGGAAAGCAGCACACCGGTCTCGCAATGCCAGAGAACTCCGTACTGCACCAGACACCGCGTCTCTGTTCGCTGCATTTGGCGGCGAGCTGACGTCAGATGACGATGTCATCGTGGACAATGACAAGGGTGTGCGAAGTGAGCCTGCTGTGCTCATCTCGCCCAGCCGACGCGAACAGCCAATCTCTAGCTACAGATCTCGCAGGGCCCATCAGGACTCTGCCTCACCCACTGCGGCGCGTCCACTCAACACAGAGGCGAATGGCGCTACTACTGATGATTCCGCGTCACAGCCAATCCGGCCTCGTAAACGGCTGAGGCGGATGCATCAGGCGCGCTCGAGCTCAGGCTCCGATTCCCAGAGGGCCAGATCAATGTCTGTCCTGTCTGTTTCCGGCTCAGACTCTTCTGGGTCATCTACTATGGAGGCGGCTACTCGCGCAGCCTCAAATTGCACCGATGCACGCCCCTCGAGAGCCGATGCTGCGGAGCTTGAGGAATACTACGCTCAACAACTGCGTATCCTTCGCCGCGTCATGCCGCTTGGCATGGCCAAGAAACACATCGAAGACTTGCGGGCAATGCATCGCGGCCACGACTACCACTCTGATGGACACATCTCTGCCACTCCCGAGCCCGCTAGCGGTAGCGACGCCGAGAGAAACTCTCTTACGCCTCCTCCAGAGCGCTCGACCCCTGCAACAAGCATCGACGCACTACAAGGTACAGGTGAAGACACCGAATTGATCCCTGGACAGGCTAGGCGCAGGGTTGCAAAGAATGGTGCAACTCGTGATGACGCCCGGTTCGTGATTGAGGGCGATCCCCTCTCGAGTGACGACGCACCCACGCCAGTCAGCATCAGCAGCGAGAGCGAATCTGACGCTGACAATGCCGACGGTCGAGGAGCGCGGTGGTGGACGAATACTGCTTCATGGCCTGCGATAAGCACTGTTCCGCGCAAGCCAAAGCGAGCCAAGGACGACATTGATCGCCTGCTTTCACGAACAGGTGTTCGTAAGCCTCAGCGCAGCAGACTACGTACCAGCTCAGATCGTCCAAAGCAGCGACATGCGAGGGCGCTCGGTGACGTGCCTCGTGACACATCCTCATCTAGGCGTGAACGTAGGGGACCTTCCAATCGTCGTTCACGCGGCAGCCGTGTGTCAAACGCGTCTAGTCACAGGTATCCTTCCTACCGCCCCAACAACCCGCCCATTGCTCATCCTAGATCTATCAAGAGCCTGGATCTCGTGGACGACACGGTGCTCTTTGATGTAGAGTGGCAGGCGGAACAGCCTGAGGTTGATGGCCGACCGGCAGCATCTCTGCTTCTGCCTGACGAAGGGTTGCCGCGGCAAACGTCACGAACCGCGGGCGCGGGCCGGTCGCCCCGCTTCTCAGATGACGCCTTGGGCCTTGCTTCTCGCGACAGCCCAAGTCGTGTTCATGTCGATCTGACCAGTGACCTGGCCACGCCAGCACGGCTTCTGGCTAGCTCAGAGCCAAAGTCGTTGCCCGCTAGGAAGACACAGCAGCGCCTCGACGAGTTCATACCTAGTCGCCAATGCATCACACCTCGTGCGCCGATGCCCGATCATCTGCAAAGCCAACAGCGCGAAGCCGATGCATGGGCCGAACTTGGATTCCTGACTCTCGACTTTGGTATTCGGCCCTTGCCTATCGGCATTTGCTTTGATTCGTCTACCTCTCTCGGGCGCGGCAAGTTGCACGACTTGCTCGCGCCCCGGGATGGCGCGCGACAGCCCTCTCCACCCAGAGCAGGAAGTGCTTTCTTCGGTGTCGCGTTGCAATTGCACAACTCGGACAGCGAACTCATCGAGTACTTGCCCAAGCTCTTCGACAACATGTTCGACGAATTTGATAAGCTGCAGCAAGAGCCGTCCATTGCGCGCGGCTCTCGTCTACGAATGAACATTGCTGAAGCAGCTGACTTTTTCCTGTCTTGGTCTCCAACACGTCTGAGCTCAAGCAGCACCAGCACTGGCACTTCGTGGACATTGCAGCTCCTTTCCGAGCTTGCGCGGCTACAACATCGACTTGCCAGCATCGGCGTACACCATCACGCAAAGGAGCATATGATCGAGAGCGTCCTGGCAATTCGCTGGCTAGCGCTGCAGCTCTCCTGGCGTAGCGTCGTTACCAATCTTGAAAAGACCGCAGACGATCCGACAACGGAGATCGGCGACGAGACCACTCTTCTGAATGGCATGGCTCGGGTCGCTGGCGATCTCATGGTCGTTCTGCTTTGTCACGGCCTGCACAGGACCATGAAGAGCGTGAAGGATGTCATGCGCTCACACACGGAAACCTCCGGACTTATTATACTGCGCGACTACTCGGCAGAATTGTGGGTGTCTCTCATCCACTTGCTGTCCGAGCCACTCTGCACGCGACACGGACTAGACTTCTGGCTCGTCTTGGAAAAAGCTGTCAGCCAGTGGGATAATCTGATCCGAGCGCGCTCGAACGTTGTTTCTGCGGAGAGCGTCTGGTACATCACGCTCAGCATGTGCGCGCTCTCCCAATTCTCTTCTTCACACGGCAGCACTGGCCAGCGTCCTAAGCTAGACGCTTCGTGGAGCATGATCAAGAATGCTCTGGATCGCGTACGTCTGCGATTCGACACGGAGGTGGAGCGCACCATGCCTAGCGCAGCAATCAGCAAGCGTGATCAATACCTTAAAATCGTAGTACAACGCTGTCTGAACCTGTCTTCGCTATGGCACTGGCGTTTCGTTGGCGCTGAGGCAGTCATGACGCACCTTTTCAAGCTGTTCGACGCCCACCGCTTGACGAACCTCCCTCGCGAGACGGATCACGACTTTGCGCCCTTCCTTCGGGAGTACGATGCGAGACTCCTCTACGATGCAGCACGCCACGAGTCGACTGCTTTCCACGTCTTCATCAAGCTCCTTGCTGCTGCTTGCAAGGAAATCAGCCAATCTGCAGCTGACAAAGCTATAGGCGATCGCCAGGTGTCGCGACTGATGTCTAGGGTGTTGCCAATACGGGTGATGCCTTTTACGCAGAGCAAACCCCCTACCGCATTGGAGCGCTCGATGCTTTTCAATCACTATTCGCTCGCAATGCTTTTCCTCTTCACTGTTCCCTCGGCTGCAACGCAGCGTCTGCGCCAAATGAAGAGTTTTCTGGCTTTTGGCGACGCCGATCTGGCCTCTCAAGTCACCTGCATTCGTGCAATGCTGTATGCTGCAGTCATCTTTCGACATCATAAGCAACCGCTTGAACCGATCATGTGCTGGTTTTCTTCATCATTCGCAAGCCTCTTAAAGAAATTTGGTGCTCTGGAAGTCGAAACACGTCATGCTCCTTCGGCAGCAGTGGCTAGTCTGCGGGACGAGCAAGTGCACCAATCCAAAGTGAGGCAGCAGCGCTCAATTACTAGCCTGATTGTCACTGCTCTGCGATCTGTGCAACACATGATAGACAGGACAACGTTGGATCCCGCACAGCAGATGCCGACAATATATCCTGATCTTGCGCTGCTCGATCACGGTGAGTGGTACGCGCGAAGTCTTGAGCTCTAGCAGCGTTCTGACAATCCTCACTTCACCGCTCTAGCTTGGACCTGCGACGTTCTTGAGACTCAACTGGCTGTCGATCCGTCGGTCGGCAACGAAGCGATGAAGATCATTCAAGCATTCTTGTTGCACCGCAATAGAGCAGTCGCAAGTTTGTCCGACAGGCAATCGAGCGCCACCCCTTTGACCGCTCTGGACGATGATAGTCAGGACAGCTTTGCAGATCTGTTCCCTGATGCCGACCTCGATGATGAGATGCTACGTAGCATCATAGACGATTCCGAGGTGGTCTCGGGGAGGATACCGAATCCGCCTATCCGCGAACAGGATCGCGACTTTGCCCACCTTGTCAGCAGATCCTTGTTGACCTCGATTTTCCGACACATATCCAACATTTTCCATCCGGACCGACTCACGACCTATTCTGCAAGGGCTGTCCTTGGTCTCGGCGATTCTCGTCGCGAGGTCCGTGACCGAGGCCACTTGGAGGAAGTGATACGAACGGCTTCACGTCGAAGTCATGTGGAGTTGGCCATCGACTGCTGGACAGGCTGCGCTCACGTGCTCGTTCAAAACGGTCTGCGAGACTGGAGCAGCTTCCTATCTCACGGCATTGGGTCCTTCAAGCACTTCAATGATGACATTGCAGGCCGCGACATCGGGCTACGTTTTTTGCACAATGTAGCATCGCTAGACCGCACAGCTTTCGAAGAGCATGAAGGCGAATTCCTGATTGGCTGGTTCGCGAGTGCTCCCTCCCCCAACCTGTCTATCCAGCACATCTACACTCGAACGCTCAGTGATGTCCAGCCTCAACATCCCTGGCTAGCGAGTGCCCCGTGGAACCGGGACGAACGTGGCGTATTCCATCAGATCAGCCTCGAGGCGTTCGAGCAAGCAAGGACACAAGCTCTTCGAAACATGTTCAAGGTGATGGCGCACGAGTATGGACACTCGCAGCAAGGCAGTAAGCGGCGATCCGCGACGTTTGCATGCTTGTCAGCTCTGCTCACTTCTTTGCGCATCTATGCGCAAGAGGGCGAGCAGACGTTGGTAGAAAAGAAGACCTACTGTGAATTTGGTTTGGAAGTATGTCAATCGATGCGGAGTGATCTTGGACCTACGATACTACGAGGGGCAGACCTGGAGATCCGCCGAACGGTAAATCTGCTTCAAAGCTTGCAGCAACCGAACCTTCCGAGCGCTTCGTCTGCAATGTCATGAATTTGCGCATGCAGCATGCGTCAATCATCATCATTTGCCCCGCCGAATTTGTTCTTCTTTCTCTTCTTCTGCTCCGTGCCTCCACCTTCGCCTTGCATCCTCTCCTTTTTGCGCTGCTCCCGTTTCGCCTCTGCAAGTCTTTCCCTTTCCAAGACTGCCCTGCTCATCTCTGAAGACATGACCGAGTCGCTGAATCCCTGCAGTCTCATACTTGACGGAGGTGGAGAAGCGTCGACTGCATTGACCGAGACCTTCGCCTCCCCAAGGCGAGCAGGTGCAGCTACCGCTCTTTCCGATGCTCGTATGAGCCTTGTAGCCTCATCCTCCTCCACTTCTTGCTCTCCCTTTGCCGAAGTCCAGCGCCTTAATCCTTGTGCTTCGCCTTCATCAACAGCCTTGTCATTTCTGAACCAGTCCATTGTAGCGCGTTGAATGGACGAGTCGCGAGGCAAGGTTGCCTTGGTGAGATCGCTCTGACTCGCCTCGGCTTCTTTGCTCTTGTCTCCTTTGGACAATGGGTTTTCTACATCGCTGTCCGAGTCTGGTATGCCTTGCCAACTGCCTACACCAGCAAAGATGTCTTCATCTTCGTCATCGTCGTCCAAATTTGCCGCCAGGGGGGCGACTACTGGTGCGGTCGCCGGCGTGCTCGCTGATGCTTGTGCGGATGTGCGCGAAGTCGACGCGTGAGCTGAAAGCAGCGTAGCCTCATCGTTTCTTTCTCGCACTGCCGGAGTGTTCGCGGGATGATTAGAAGCAGTCGTCTTGCCAGCGTGCGACGAGGAAGCTGCACTGTTGTTCGCTACTCTGGGTCTGTTGTTGGACGGCAGAGGCTTGGCTTTGACCGGAGCAGCTTCAGTGCTTGACTCGGCTTTCGTGTTGGTGTGAGCCATGCCGTCAGAGTGTCCCAGCTCCTGTTCACTTGCTTCCACTTTTTTCCTCTTCTTGCGCATGCGCTTCCCATCCTTCCAAATGTACTCGGGAGCTTCAATCTTGTCTTTGCTCGAGCCGATGGGCTTGAAGCCGCTCGCTATCGGTGTGAATGCACCCTGACCTCGAGTATTTTCGTGCGACTTTGACTTGGAGCTACCGCCCAGATTCCTTTTGGCCAAT